AGCCACACTCATGGCCCTGTGCCTGGCTGTGTCCATCCATTTCAGATCCCTGCAGAACTAGCACCACCCTACTGCTCAAATGGTTCAGGATCCTGCAGACATTCCTCCCCAGAGCAGCCCTAGGAGGTAAGGGACATCCCAGTGCACTCTGCTGACTGCCTCTCTTCTATTGTTCTCCTGTTAAAGTCCCAAGCAAGATCACCACACTGCCCCTGATGCAAGCAGCAGCAATGCTCTCTCAGAATCTCCTTTAGATCCCTACAGCTCTGCTCTCCTGGGAGGCCAATAAATATAGAATAACTGTTTGTATGCTAAGTCCCTTCTTCTGTCCTATTTGTAGATTAGAAACTCTCTGGGCAGTTTAGTCCATGTTTCTGCAGCACACAGGGAACTGGGCTCATGCTCCATTAGGGAAATTTCTGGGTTCTGAAAACAAAGATAATCAAGTGATGATAAATTAAAACATAAAGAAAACACTTGATACAAGGCAAAGGTGCAGAGCTAGCAGGACAAGTAGTCTGCAAGAAAAAAAGGAATGAATGAACTGTCCAGTGCCACAGCTTGTGTCTATGCCTAGGACTTTTCAGTTCTTTCCCCAGCTCCTCAAGAAGGTTGACCTCTCAGCTAGGAAAGTGAGAATACAAATATGATAAATGGGAAAAGTCTCATCCTCTGTGTCTGTGAGGGACAGCTGGAATGGCAGGTATGAGCCCCTAGACTGTAGAGAACACTGCAACAAGAGGTACAAGGAGGCAGTTAGGAACTGAGGGGCAAACAGAGCCTGATCTTCTGGCTACCATCAGTTTAAAGGATTGCTGATGTTATCATCAAGGAGATAAAAATGGGCTGAGGAGCATAGGCTGCTGCCATCAGTGCTGAAAAAGATCTGGTTTACACTGGAGTCATAACATCAGTGGTCCAGAGGTCTTCTAGTTCTGATTCTGTCTTGTCAGGCAATGACCTGTCTATATATGCACTGGTTCTTTAGAGGAATTTGCTTGATCTTGTTGGTTTATGGCAGGAAGAAGTGATGAGAAGTAGCAGGGAACTTTAAATTGTTAGAATTTGCTGTGGCTCACATCTGCACAGCAGACAGGTGGTGGGGCTGTGACTCTGCATGGGCAGCTAGCTGAGTTGTGCAACATGATTAAGGGGCCCTGCAGAGAGCACCTGATACTTCTGGGATTTCAGAGTCCACTGAGGCAGCCCAGTGAGCCAGAGGAGAACACTGTTTTTTGGGGTATAACCACTATACCTGTGGCTGATGCTTTGGCTCCCTTGCAGAAACAGACACACCTCATGTAGCCACAGGGCACAGCTCCACATCCTTCAGCTCTGCTTTATAGGGATTCAAAAATTAGCAGCAGTTCATGGTAGCACAGACTAGGTACTCAGTGTTTCCTAGAAGAAAAAAAAAGGGAAATACAGTTTCTGCTGCAACAATCTAATGATTAAAAGAAGAGAGAATAAATATTTACAATATATAAACCACGAGATTTTCAAGCCATCAAATAATGATGAATTTTAAAGAGATAGGATGAAACTGATCTCCTTGAATGTCTTGTTTTACTAAACAAGTTTTTAATACCTTAGATGCTGGTGCACTTGTATTTGCAGCTCCCTCCAAGTGTAGGTATGCCAGAATCTTCAGTCAAAAATAGCTGCAATTTATGACTCTTCATCAAACGTGTCCAGGCCTTGAGAAACCCAGTAAGAAGTCCCAGTTTGGGTGACAAACTGGCTCTGGCAGTGAGTGTGGCTGCCAGGGCTCTCTCTTTGCTCTTTCATTCCCTCCTGCAGCTCCTGACTCCCCTGCAAGTCACTCAGCTTCAGTTCTGCACGTAGGGATTGCTGTGACCCTGCTGGAGCACTCACCTGCTCAGGGGAACTGGCTTCCAGAGGAAGAAATCCATGGCAACATCAGCTCCAGTTTGCTCCCTCTTCATCACAGGCAGAGCAAAGGAAGAGCAGTTTGTCAGAAGCTGCTGCTGAACTGCCTGAAGTTATAAATACAGTGCCCGAAGACTCTAAGGTTCCAGCCTGGTGTTGTGGTTTGGGGTCAGGGCCACCCCCAGAACCATAAGAGATGCTCTCTGTTAACCCCCTCTGCCCACCCCCAGAAGGGGAAGAGGAAGGGAATAAAGGAGAGAGACTTATCAATTAGAAAACAGCTTTAATACTACCACTAATGATAATAGTAATAATATGGAATATGTATGAATCTATACAAACCCAGTACTGATCCCAGCTCCCCCCATGGCACTGTGTCACTGTCACCCCAGCTGGGGAGCAGCCCCTGGGGAGAACCCCCAGGCTGGACTCAGGTAAGTGCTCCAGGAGCTGGATTCTGGAACTGGGTTCAGGAACACAGGGCTCAGGATCAAAGGCAGGATGGATGAAGTCCTCCTTGGACACCAGGCACTGCAGGAGCAGCAGAAGTGAGGAAGAAGAAGGAAGGGAGAAGGGAGGGGCAATGGAAGGGCTTGTTAGCTTCAGACAGAGCAGTTAATTAGAAGAACTTTAGCTGACAAGTTGAAACAATTGAACAGAATCAGCTCTGTTCTGTCCCAAAGCAGGACAGCAGCTTAAGAATCCCCCCATTCCTACTCTCAGAGCATTTCACCCCTGTGTGGGCACTGAAAAGGATCACATCTTCTAAAGGGACAAGTAGTCAGCACACCCCAGTGAAACCAGCTGACCTGTTCAACATTTCTCCACAGGAAATGGGTGTAAGTGAGGCCAGGGGAGGTTTAGATTGCATATTAGGAAGAATTTCTTTACTGAAAGAGAGGTGAGGCTTTGGCCCAGGCTGCCCAGGGAGGGGCTGGAGTCCCCGGCCCTGGAGGGGTTCAAAAAATGAGTAGATATGATACTTTGGGACATGGTTTAGTGGTCATGGTGGTGTTGGGTTGATGGTTGGACTTGATGATCTTAAAGGTCTTTTCCTAGAACCTTAATGATTCTGGGTCTAGAACAAGCAGTTACTACAAATGTGAATATTCAGCCATAAGATCCTCTGAAAGCCTCCACAGCATCTAACCCAGCTGGACATGAGGATGAAGGAAAGTGGAGAAGATGAAACCTTCCCCTACCCCAGATCATCACAGGATGTTAATCAGCATCATGCCTGCCCACAGGATGAGGAGCAGTGGTGCTCATGGCCCTCCAGGCAGCCCTGGAGCAGCTTCCAGCCACAGGGCAGTCTGCATCAGGTCTCCCCCTGTTGTTGCAGTCAGTGAAGGTGCCTCTTCAGCAATACTTTGGTTCAAGTTGGACATATTTGGACCTTCTCAGCTTAGATTTCCAAAAGCCAGCTAGCAGAAGTGGCTGAGTTTTACAATCAGGCCACTAAAGGAGCAGGTCAGGGCTAGGTTTAAATCTACAGTTAAAAATCCCCACATCCTTTCACCTGTTTTATGAACTCATCACTCTACTTAAGTAAAACTTCCACAAGCTACCTTTTTATATTTAAGAACACCCTCTTCAATGCAGTGCACACAGGAGAACATGTAAGGTTATTTTGGTGCTCATACAGAATACCAGTCAAGGATTTTGGGTGCCTCTAGCACCCAGAAGTACCACTCATGTCCTGTTGAGCCCTGAATTATCCCAGATAGGATTAATTGTTCTCAGCTTGTTCAGTGGTTTCAGGAAGGTAAAGCAAACATTCACTTTTTGTTGGATTATTTTCCTACCCTTTCAGCTCCCTGCCTGGACCCACCACAAGTTCTGATAACGTCAAAAATCAGTGCAAAGGAGAGAGCAGGAAAGTGGAAGAGGGCAGGGTTAAAGAGCAGCTTAAATTGCCAGGGAGCAGCAGGAAGTGTAGTTCCATGTGTTAGAAAGGACTGTGAAGTGGGACTCATTCACACCCACGAGGGAGGGAGCACAGGAGCTGGTTTGGTGCAAGCATGCCTGACTGAAGGAGTTATTGTCAAAATAAACCAGGGTCTAGATCACCCCACTCAGAACAGCTTAAACACAGCTGACCTTAGAAGTGACAGTATCTCCCTCTTATCATAACCAAATCAGCTTTCAGAAATCTAGCAGGAAAGGTTATGTTGTTTCATATTATAGCCTGTTTCCTGAATTAACCCCCTGCCCCAAACCAGGAACACCACACCAACCTTTTGGTAAATCAATTAGACACTCTCTGAACAAGCAACCCTCACTGAGAAGCCTGAAGATGTGACAGTTGGATTCTGGGTGACATTTCACCAGCTTATTGATCACACAGCTCTAATTAAAACTGACTGTCAGGAAAACAGATTTCCCCCTCCTAATTTCCTAATTAAATAAACTAAACTCCATTCCTTTAGCTCTGTTCAGGCACAAAAGTGCACGTCCCTAATGCCACCAATCCTGCTCCATTTGGAGGCTTTTGGAGCACACTCCACAGACTGATTCAAAACCCACTCTGCTTTTTGGGTGCCTTACCTCAGACTGGAGGGAAGGACGTGCTGGAAGGGAATGGAAACACATCTGATGGTACCACAGCCTCAGTTGCTTCTCTCTCAGGTGGATATTCTGTCTACAGAGAAGTGAAATGTGAGAAATACGTTAAAAGAAAAAGTCTCTTTTTTTCTCTTTATGAGGTTACCATTGCTAAGAGCAACACTATGCAGCTTTAGCTGTATTTCTGCAAATAAAGCTGGATTCAGCCCAGCTGGTGCTCCCTCGTTTCCCCAGCTCCCTCTGGAGGCTGCTGCTCACACTGGGTTTGCAATCCACCATGTGGAAAAGGTTAAACTCTCAGGAGAGGAGCTTTGCTTATAAAATGCTCTCCTGGGCCCAGGCTCCAGCCCAAGTGCAAACCAGCGTGTGGTTTCTGTGGCCAGCTGCAGATCTTTCTCTTTGGTTTCTAATCAGAAAGAAACCTTGAAACCTTCCCCCCCGCCTCCACAGCTGCACCCTATATAAGGGATTGGGCTGACATGCTCTTTTTTTTCTCCCTTGAACGGTTTAGGGGAGGCGATTTTTTGGCCGCAGCCCTAAAGAGCATGAAGCGTGCTTGGAGGATTTGTGTGTGCTTCTACTGCTGCCTCCACTGGCTCTCCTCCAGCGTCCAGTGCTCCCCCCGCCCCAGGGGCCGTGGAGTCTCTGGCAACACCTCCGAGCTGTCGGGGGCTGCCGACGCCGCTCGAGGGCGTCGCCCAGCGAGTCCAACCCGCGGCTGTGGCTGCCCCAAGGGAGCCGTGGCTATGCCCTGCCCCCTCCCCTCCTCAAGGTGCTGTCGGACCAGGGACCCCAGGACTGGGAAAGCCGGGTCCCCAGGCTGCAGCCGGACTCCAGAGCCCTTCGGTACATGAAGAGGCTCTACAAGATGTCTGCTACCAAGGAGGGAATCCCGAAGGATAACAAAAGCCACCTCTACAACACCGTGCGACTTTTCACTCCGTGTTCCGAATGCAAGCACCGCCCCCGGGGTCTCCTGAAAGGTACGTCCGGGGTGACCCCCAGAAACGGGGGGGTTCCACCCGCTCTCTGCCTGCAGCGTGGCACAGGAGTGTCTCCTTTCTGCAGAGGTGTTGCTGCCTTAATCCTCACGGCTCTTCTCTGAAGCTGTAGGAGGTTTTCCTAGCCTGCTCCTCCCTGGATGGCATTAGGGGCAGGCTTCCCCTGGTCTGGGAAATGCCACACCAATGGTGCTGTTCAGGATGATGCTGATCTCTCAGCCTGACTCATCTTGCTGGGAATCAGAGTAAGCTCTGCCATTGGTTCTAAGTAAACTAAGAAAAGTGGAAAAAGGGGTTAGGTGTAGTGGGCATCATGTTTCCTTCTGCTGGTTTTGCTTTTTTCAAGGCCACAGAACACTGTAAAGAGACTGGTGACAAACTGCCAGAGTCCCACTGCAAGGGGACTTTTCTCCTTGCCCTGTGCATGTGCCAGGGATGAAATATGCCCCCAATGTGTGAGTATCCCAAAGGGAAGAGTAGAATTGCTTCCAAATCAGGCTGAGGACTGAGAAGCTGGGACAGCTGGGTACTTTGAACTCACCATGCTGTCGTGGCTGTCTTCAATGTGGGCTGGTGGCACCAAGAGCAGGTAGAAATCTTTGGCCTTTGGTTCTACGGCGTGACGAGCGATCGGAGTTCTCCTGACTTGGGCCTGTTTGTGTTTAACCCTAAACACAGACATCAGGCTGGTGCACAGGGACAGCAGCTCCAGAGGCATGTCCAGATGAGTATTCACTATGGAAAAATGAAATTAAAAATAAATAAACCAGTGTTTGTGATTAAAATTTCCTGGCGTAGTATAATCTGATTCAGAAATATATTCCGATGTAACAGTTAATCTCATTATTAGGCATCCTAAATGGAGTAATAATTAAAGTAGCAGCCCAAATCTGGGCCAATTTCCTACAGTTATTGAAGCTGTTCAAATTCATGATTGTAGATTAATGTAGGAAATTTATCAAGGTCTACAGAGCCTGCACCTGATCTCTGATTATTTGGCTTATGAACGTGTGAAGAGACCACTTAATGCTTTTCTGTGGTCAAAAATGAACAATTTCAAATGTGCAGGAAAAAAGCAGTGCTGAGGAGTAACAAAAGCAGCAGATTTAACACCGGCTATGTCCACAGCTGGAAAATGGGTGAGGAAATGGTTCATCAGCCTCCAAATCAGATGGGAATTGGAGTAAATTCAAAGAATGCCAGAAAACTGTTGGCATCAGGGGAAAAGATAAGAGTGGTGTCTCTTACAGTAAGGATGAATGAGACATAAATGTGTATTCCAAGTAATTTGGAAGCTTTGGTTCTGATGAAAGAAAAGCAAAATGACACTTAGGAAAGAATGATAACTTTTTTTTTTTTAAGCAGTGCTAATAAATTTCTGCCTTGCTGTTGCTCAGACTTGCTGGCAGCTGCTGGTTAAGAAATTTAAATAGAAAAGAAATATGAAGAGTAACTCGAGTTAATGCTAAGAAGCTCCAGAAGTGTTACCTTTAAAATTTTAGATATTTCACTTCGTGGCTTGTATAATCTAGAGTGTCTAGATCCTGTTTCCCCATATCAACACTGACAAGACATCTGCTAACTTCTTCCTGTACTGTTTGGTTGGGTTTTTTGGTGTTGTTTTTTATAAAATGAATCCTAATACCTCTTTAAATCATGGGTTTTCTTTGTTTTGTAGCAACTTCTTAATTTTTAAATCTTATGCCCCTGAACAAAGTACAAATTCCATGTAATGAAAGTAATGCAGGGCATCTAAATTGGTTTGTTCTGCTGAATTATTGCCTCTTCTCCTGCACGATGATATTGATGTCTAGGTGGACAATTAAGATGCATTTTGTTTCCCTCCTCAGGAGACGTTCACTCGGTGGATTTACTCTTCAACCTGGATCGTGTCACTGCTCTAGAGCACTTGCTCAAGTCTGTCCTGCTCTACTCCTTTGACACATCAGTCCCTGTCTCTTCCTCCATTTCGTGCACGTGCCGTTTGTCTGTTAAGGAGCATGATTTTTCTAGCCAAGTATGTCCCAGCATTTCACACTCTGTAGCTTTTAGCCTGCACTTTGAAGTCCGAAAACGCAAGTGGGTGGAGATTGATGTGACTTCTTTCCTCCAGCCTCTGATTGCTACTCACAGGAGGAACATTCACATGGCCGTGAACGTCACTTGTCTGCTGGGTGATCCACCACGAAACACTGACCTGGAAAACCCCATCGACGTGGCACTGGTTCCCCCTTCTCTTCTCCTGTACCTGAACGATACCAGCGAGCGAGCGTATCACAGGTGGAACTCACTCAGACACAGAAGGCAAAGCCCAGGGCAGCCCAGGGAAAGGACCAACCCTACGAGTGACCCCAGAAAGCACCCCCAGGGCAGAAGGGCCTCTCGGCGTCGACGAGCCGAGACCCCTCAGCACCCCGCGACGCCCCCACCTCACAACCTGAGCGAGCGCTTCCAACGCTTTCTCTTCCCTCAGGACGAGTGCGAGCTCCGCGAGTTCCGCCTCAGCTTCAGCCAGCTGAAGTGGGACCGCTGGATCCTGGCGCCGCACCGCTACAGCCCGCAGTACTGCCGGGGGGAGTGCCCGCGGGCGC